AGTTTAGTTTATGTTAGTTTAGTTTATGTTAGTTTAGTTTATGTTAGTTTAGTTTATGTTAGTTTAGTTTATGTTAGTGCTCACATTAACCGTGTAAACTATAGTCGAACAGAACCCATGAGAACCGTGCTGCTGTTGTTCGGTGTATTGTTTTGCACTTTTAGTGACTGGCACATATCTTAGATCTTTTAGCGTACGGTTTGGCGTTCATTTAGCGAATATCTTAGTTGATGTCCTGATTTACTGTTTCTTTTAACACTTTATATTTTTGCTCTCGTTTGATGTAACTGGGACCCTGTGTGCACAGATTCATTCCACCTCATGTACCACATGTGATGTGAATGACAAATAAAGAAACTCTGACTCTTCCTGAGTGTATATCAGACGGTCAAAGTTCTGATGAGAAATCTCTGAGCCAAGATTCAACTTGGTGGTTCTGTCTTTGCAGGTCATTGACACCATGCCCATGAATGAGACAACAGCCTCACTCTTCCACCACTTTGAGCCTCTCTACAGAGTGATTGATGACATGCCTCAACCACCAGCAGCACTGCTCACACTCACACAAAGTCAGTACACGCACACACACGCATCTTTGATAGTGCACAATAATACACAGACCTTTACAAAAGTTACATAGATAAGAAAAAACTACTTCCTCGTTGTTATTGGATCAAAGTTGTAAAGTTGAATGTTTGAAAGAAGTATTTCACATTTCGATTAATTCTCTTTTAGAGTCACTTTGAATGCTTAAAACATAAAACAGTTTGCATTAGCTTTCTGGTAACATTTGGATCTCATACAGCATTTTTTGAGCATTACATCATGGTTTATCTGTGAAATTTAGAATTATGAATGTTGTGTTGTCACTTTGCTGCCCACAAGCAGCCAGCCCACAACCTGTTGGGTGTTCTGTGTGTGTGAACATCTGTAAACGTTACTGTAGGTTTCCAGCGTGTTGAAGGTCAAACCGAGATGAAGGATGACGAGGAGACACCTGAAGACAAGTCAGAGGGTTCTGATTTAAAGGAGGTGCTGAATGTGTCTGAAGTCGTTGACCTTCCCAATGGTATAGAATGACCGACTTTCTCTCTCCCTTTGTTAGATGCTTTCACATGTTTCTGTTGAAGTATCAAATAAATAAAATATACAAAACAAATAACTCAAACAATTTAGGTTTTGGTTAAGAAAGTGGAATGACACAAAATAAATATTGACCACATGAAGAAATATTTTAGCACACAGTTTAAAAACATGCCTCTCTGATGGTATGGATGTGCATTAGTGACTCTGGCATGGGCAACATCATTAATGCAGAAAAATGTACTGTAATTATGGTTTAAAACAGAAAATGCTCCCATCCAGCTCATGTTTATCAGTGAAGATCTTGCATATTTCAGCAAGACAGTCATCTGTTAGGAAAATGCATTTGTGGGTTGAGCAGCAGAGTGGAGCCTGTGGATTTCATTAATGAAAAACTTGCCAAATCTTCTCTGTCAAACAGCTTATTCTGCTATTGTCTTCTTTATTAGATCGGTTTATTGAGGTCTGAAGAAACAAGCCAAGTGTTGGCAATTCATTTATTATTGGAACGAATAGGGGCCTAAGTAGCATGTGGAATATCCATACACAGCCACAAAAGCTTGGCACAACCGTCTTATGCTGCTCCACAGCTTGGCCACACTCTTGTGATATGGCATCTCATTCTTCAACCAGATTTGTTGTAAGTCAGCCAGTGTGGTTGTGTTGGTCACTCTGGAACAAACCACACATTGGAGCTGATCCCACAGGTGCTGAGTGGTGGTCAGGACTTGAAATAGACCATTCCATTCACTTCACAGGTGCTGGCATCAGGGCAACAACTGGGTACCAGAATCCCAAAACGAGGCATTTCTTCTTCTTTCAGCTTTTCCCTCTTCAGGGTCTCCACAGCGAGTCATCATCCTCCATCTCACTCTGTCCTCTGTGTCCTCTGTCCTCACTCCAACTACCTCCATGTCCTCTCTAACTGCATCCATAGATCTCCTCTTTGTCTTTTTCCTGGCAGCTGCATTTCTAACATCCTTCTACCATTATAACCACTGTCCCTCCTCTGGACATGTCCAAAGCACTGTCCCTCCTCTGGACATGTCCAAACCACTGTCCCTCCTCTGGACATGTCCAAACCACTGTCCCTCTTCTGGACATGTCCAAACCACTGTCCCTCCTCTGGACATGTCCAAACCACTGTCCCTCCTCTGGACATGTCCAAACCATCTCAGTGTGTCCTCTCTAACTTTATCTCCCAGTTGTTCAACCTGTGCTGTACCTCTGATGATCTCATTCCTGATCTTCTCCATCCTTGTCTCTCCTATGGAGAACCTCAACATCTTCATTTCTGCTACTTCCAGTTCTGTCTCTGGTCTTTTTGTCCATGTCTCTGTCTCCAGACCATACAACAGAGCTGGTCTCACCACTGTCTTGTAAACAAAACAAGTGGCATTTACTGAGAATATTTGACAAGTGTTTTATGAGTGAAACCCACACACTCATCTTTGCTGCTCTACAACTGGATTTTCCTTACAAAGATGGCACCAATTAAGGGGAAGAAACAGACTTCACTTTATCCAAACAGTTTATTACCAAAAAGCGATACAATACAGAAATAACCAGCCAAACACTGTCCTTACTTTTTGTGCTATTCTTATTTAGAGTATCTATGCATAGATTCTACTTTTTAATTGATAATAGAACAATTTCAAGTACCCCATGGAATGCCTTCAAGTATCTTCAAGGGTACAGCTTCCTCCAGGGGCAACTGTGGATGGATGGTTGGAGCAGCCATCTTCCAAAGTAGAAAGTTGTGGGTTTGATTCCATCAGTATGCAGACAAATTTCAAAGTGTTCCTAGGCAAGACATGAAGTCTTCATTACCTCCAATGTGTGTCCGATCGGTGTATGAATGTGATCTAAAGCACTGATTAGTCTCTGTAGAATTAATTATTCAGATTATGTTTGTAGAGATCTAGTAGAGTGCTGTATGAATGTGTTTGGAAGTAAATGAGGGTACAGATTGTGTTTAAAGTGGCACTTTATAAGTACAGTTCATTTACCTATTTAAAAAAATAGTGCCATAGATCATATGATAGCATGGTCCTGATCTCCACCCGTTCTCAAAATCCCAGAATCTGTGTCTGCTGTAGACCCTGCGATGTTGACCAGTGACTCGGAGAGTGAAATCTTCTGTGACTCTGTGGATTCAGTGGAGCAGCTGATCACCATCGAGGTAGGATTCAGTCCCATCCCCCAGCTCATTGGTCTTGTGCATCCAAGATGAATCAACTGATTCCAAACCATCTGATCATTACAGATTCCAGTTATCAAATCAAATTTCTTTCACAATGGCCACGTGTCCTTGGAGTTGTATCCAGCTCTGTGTGATCAGGAGAAGGGTCATGTGGAGGGCAGACAGGCCGGCTCAGGTCACGGTGGAGAAGGAGCAGAGCATGGAAGAGGGCGGGGATCCTCTCAGAGGAATCGGGAAGCTGGCAGAGAAGCTCCCTCCCGAAACTGCAGAGAGTGTAAGTTGCTGTGCTTGAAATGTGCACAGTGTTTAGTTTAAATATATTAGACAAGCATAAAAAGAGAAGTGTCCAGATGATGTTTGGTACCTTATGGGTTTCCAGTCTCTATTACCTGCTCCATTTGACAAAAACCAAAGCGTATTCATACAACTGGGGAGCCTATACTGAGAAACACACTCCCTTGAGACAAAAGCAGTTACGATTGATTTTAATGCTTATAAATACTTTCCTGATAAGAGACTTAAATTTAAGTTGAGTCCAAAAAAAATCCATCCAGGTATTTGGCCTCATCTACTCTGGATTTTCCTGATGCATGCTCAATAATCCAGGCAGATAAATCTAACAAGGTTAAGTCAGGTCCTCTGGACGGATTCTTCTTGTTGCAACATTTTGTTCTTTATCCAAGAGACTTCCTCAGTCTGAGGAGCTGCAATAAACTCAGTCTTGTAAATAGCACCTTCTCATAGTGGATCAACCAGTTTGCTGCTGACAGCCAGAACTAGTTGTTCACGAGGAGGACCATCAGCCTAACAATGGATCATTAGCACCTGATGGCTGTTTACTGTTCACAGAGGGCTGAGTGATACTAGCAATCACAGCATTGTAAGAGGGGGACAATTGAACCCGGAGGCTCCACCCCTGTTTAATGATGGACGATTTCTTTTAACAAAGATGGCCTCCTTTACTCCTTTCTCAAACCAACATTTTTTGTCACTGCACGATCTGTTCTGGAAGCACGATGCATACCATCAGCTCATTTGCGCATGTGCTAAAAGAATACTTCCAGGAGGGCTTTAGACATTGCAGATCACAAAATGGATGGATTTTCAGTCTTTCTACTTTCGTCATCTGTAATTTGTCCTGGAAAATAAACCTTTTACAGGAGATGTAGAGAGCAAAGTATGCCAGGAGGATAGGTTTCTACAGTCATCCTTGATAGCACCCTCTCCTTCTCCCATGTCACTAATATCACTCGGTCAGTCCACTTCCATCTTCAAAATATTCATCGTCTCCGTCCTTCCCTCACTCCACTGCTGTTCTGCTCCACAGTCTGGTCACCTCTCATTTAGATTATTGCAATTCTCTTCTTTTTGGCCCACCACAGAAAACCCTCCATAAATTACAACTGGTCCAAAATTCAGCTGCCCGTATCATTACACGGACCCCCTCAATACATCACATCACACCTGTTTTACAACAGCTTCATTGGCTTCCCATCCCATATCGCATCAACTACAAAACACTCCTCCTTACCTTCAAAGCTGTCCACCACCTCGCTCCTCCAGACCTTCGGACCTTGTTCACATCGCTACACCCGCTCGTACCCTCAGATCCTCTTCTAGTCAGCTCATTGTTCCCCTTGCCCGTCTTGTTACCATGGGGAGCAGAGCGTTCAGCAGCTCTGGGACTCACTCCCACCTGATATTCACGACACACTCGTTGCCACATTTTAAATCAAACTCAGAACGTATCTGTTTAAAGAAGCCTACACACTGTGATTGCAACTGAACTGTCTTATTTAATTTTTTACTTTCATTCAGCCTTTATTTAGACAGGTCAGTCCCATTGAGCCTCATTTATCATTTGTTTTATGATCGACAGTGTAAGGTGACCTTGAGTGCCAAGAAAGGTGCCTACAAATAAAATGTATTGTTATTATAGTCAATCTCATAAAAGACGACAATTATTAAAATAAAGATCTTCTGTTGTCAGTAATGGGTCCACCAGAGGGCGCATTGACAGAGTAAATACTTACAGTCCAGTCAATCAACCAAACACTGAATGAAAATTTTGAAAGTAAATGAAGACAGTTCTTATTCATAAACAGAATTATAACATTGTCTAGGAAAATTAATCAATGTATAGAAAGAGATATTTTAATTAACATTAATACAAATAGTATGTTTCATGCATACATTTTATAAATGTCAAAATGTATATAATATATGTGTTGTACTAAATCAGATGTAATTTAGCACACCTTTAAGGCTGGACGTATTTATTTCCAGTACATTTTCCTAAATGTAGCATCTTCAAAAATATTTCTTTTAGCGCATGCACCAATGAGCTGACGGTACGGATCGTGCTTCTGGAACAGATCATGCAGTGACGTTCCTCTCTATCAAAGATGTGAACATCTTCATCCCTGAAAGAGTGACCTCTGACCTGCAGATGAATGTAGACCTCAGAGTCCTGGCCTGATGATGTTGATCTTCTGTGCTGGTCCATCCTTTTGGCCAGTGGCTGTTTAGTTTCCCTGATGTAAGACTGATCACCTCCTGACACTGAACAACATACACAATATTACTCTGTTTGTGCCGGTTGACTTGGTTTGGCCCTAGGTGGTGCTCCACGGGGCAGTCTGAGGCGAGTGGCCCCAAACAGTGGAGGTGGAGCTGGACGAGGAGGGGGCAACGGGTCTGAGGGTGGGGCGGAGAGGCTACTTGATGCCCACCTCCAGCAGCAGATCATCTTGGCACTACGGAGGCTCAGAGAGGACATGAGGAGTGTGATGGAGAGGCTGGAGGTGGTGGAGAGGCTCGCTGCCTCACATGTAAGTCTATCTTCTGTTAGAGGTGTTCAGCTTGTGGGGGACTCACTTCAACAGCTGTGTGTGCGTTGGGTTTTTTTCAGGACTCCGCATGGAGACCCTGTCGTCAGTGTGAAGCCTCAGCTTCACAACAGGTGAGACCCTGACACAACGTACGGTATTGTTCTGATCCGACTGTTCACACCGCACAGAAATGTGTGTGTGTGGGAGTGTCTTTAAAATCAGGTTTATTGGAACATTTCTGTTTTTCAACACTTGTTTCCTATTCAGTCCTGGTAAGGTTCAAGTTCCCACATTTCATCAAGCCATGAAAAAGACTTCACGATATATAAAGAATTTCAAACGTTCATGAAACAAACTCGTGCTGAGATGTCTGTTTCCATCACATTGTTTGGACCTGTGTGGTCATTGTAGGCTGAATCAGAGGATTCAGTTGGAGGACAAGAGTCTGAGCTTTGATATTACAGATGAACCTTATGAAACAGAGTGGATGTTCACAGAGGAGCAGCTCACAGAGCTATTTTCCTTTATTGGGACAGTGTTACAGGCTAAAATGTTCAGCCTTTGACACGATTAATCTGAAATAAGTAAAATAATTAAAACCAACCAACTTGACATCTATTCAGTTGTTGAAGACATTTTCCCCCTCATCTGGGGAGCTTTATCTTTTTTTTTAAATCTAGTTTATTTATTTATTTTTTAACATAAAACCAAAAAAAGCAAACCGTAGAACAAATCCCCCCACCCCTGCCCTCCCACACTGGATCAGTCGCACACAAACAAATGAACTAACCAGGTATTGACACGTCCTCCGTGTACAACACGAAAGGCTGCCAAGTGTGCCAAAATCTTTTAACAGAACCCTTCGGGGTATATCTGATTTTTTCCAGAGTGGTATGATACACCTGTCTCTGTCACCTGCTGGGGGGGTGTGGGTCCTTCCAATGGCACAAAACAAGTCTCCTGGCCTAAAGAGAGCCAAAAGCAATAACATCCTTCCCGTACTTGTTGAAGGACATATTCACAGGACCCACCCCAAACATATTAATGATGATGATGATGGTGATGGTGATGGGTGTACAGTTTTTCCCACATACCTCAGAGAAGGTGTCAAAAATAGATTGCCAGAAGGTCTGCAGTTTGGGACAGGTCCAGAAGGTGTGCAGGAGCGTAGATGGAGTTTGTTTACAATGATTGCATGCAGGGTCCAGGTCAGCTTTGATCTTGGACAGCTTGTCTTTGGACCAATGCAGCTGGTGTCCCACCTTGAATTGAATTACAGTATGTCTCAGACAGATTGAAGATGAGTAAATGTTCTTAATGATCTTTCTCCAGATTGAGTCTGATATGGATTCCTCCAGGTCCATTGCCCATTTCAGTTTAAGGGAGTCCAAACCGAACTCATAGTATGAACTGAGCAGTGTATAGATTTTACTCAGGGCCCCCTTGGTATCAGGCCTGTAGTCCAAAATCTTAGCTACAAAATGTTTAGAAGGGTACAAAAAAACAATCAGTTAGATCTCACAAAGTGTCTCAACTGCAAAGATCTGAAAAACTGTGACTTGTAAATATTAAACTTATGTACCAGCTGCTCAAAAGAGGCAAATCTACCATCAACACAAAGATCACACAATGAATATACTCCCCTCAAGACCCAGGTGTCAAAAGTTGTATCAGCTACTGAGGAAGTAAACATTTGATTATTTGACTCAGGTGCCATTAACAGTAACTCTGTAGAGATAAATGCCCTCCTGAACGATTCCAAATCTTCACCACCCAGATCACAATTGGGTTAGAAGTGTAGGTTGATATTGTTTAAAAGGCACCCCCAGAGCCTCCACTTAGCTCCAGAGGTAATTTATTTATGACGTTAGCTCTAGCCGTAATATATATGGTGGGTCTAAAAAGAATAAAATAAAATAAAATCGTTAAACCAAACCGTACAACATCCTGTAAATAACTCTTGACAGAACTTACCATTTGACTGAGAATGATTCTTTTAAACAGTTCATTAAAACCTAAATGAAAATAATAATAAACATAAAAGCCATCTCTTTGGGATATTCTTAAAGAAAGCTGTTAAATTATCTTAAATCTGCTGGCGGATGAGCGCACGCACACACACACACACACACACACACCTCTTCAGAGCTGCTCTGGGTGTCAGTGCACTTTGGGGCCGTTCAGTACAGTGGTCCTGGGGTGTAAATGAATCACATTTGAAAAAACAGAACTACATTAAGCCAAAGCGGAAGTGGTCAAGGCGGAAGTGGAAGTGGGCGGAATCATATTTGAAAAAAAACAGAATTACATTTGACACATTACCCACCACTTCTGATTTTGCTTAATGTAAGTCCGTTTTTTTTTTTTTTTTTTCAAATATAATTCCATTTTTTCAAATGTGATTCCGTTTTTTCAAATGTGATTCCGGCCACTTCCGCTTTGGCTCAATACAATTCTGCATTTTCAAATGTAATTGTATTTTTTGAAATGTAAGTCTGATTTTTCAGATGTTGTTCATTTCCACCTCAGGGCCACCATAGTTCAGACCTGTAGTTAGGGACGTGACTGCAGTTCAGTGGCACAGGACAGGATTTAGTGATAAATCGTATTTCAGGACAGAAATGATGTCTATTTGCTGACGTGACTTTTCCTCTCTCAGGAGGAGACATGGTGGCCATTCGATGTGTCAGGTCAGACCGTCCTTCTCTTCCTCCTGTGGCCGTTTGTTGCTCAGGGTGTGGTCTACTTCCTGAAGAAAGCCCAGCAGAGAAGCCGCATGTCTTCATGAGGAGAGCTGAAGAACTCGTGCAGGGAATGTTAGCCTGATGTTCCCTTCAGGATCCACAGGTCCTGGTCTGGTCTTTATTCAAGCAGACTAAATGATTATGAAAAGCTTGATGGAATATTTAAACAATCTGATCCTTTTTTAAATGTGAACGGAGCAGCTAGTCCTTTCAGGATACATGGCTGCACATTTATTTCTGATTGTTCACTTCTTCATATGACCCTCACTGCTCCAGTCAATTCAGTGGTTTCCAAAGTTTGTGTTAGGGCCCCACTATAGGTCCTTAAACATCAAGTGGAGGGTCTTGAGAAGATCTCCAGAAACGATAGAAGCTTTACAAATGCTCGCCAATGGCATATTTAGTCTTAACTGTTGAAAAGACAGGGGCAGTGCTCACAAATGGATGAAACATGTTGCTTGATGAGGTTCTTTGCTAAGTGGCTTATTAGTCATGTTTTACTTCAATCAGCAACAACTGGGGTCACAAGTTTATGAAACTTTTATTTTATGGTTCAAAAACTGAGATGATTGGGAATCACTGTCTCAAACTGTCCACAAGTCAACTGTACACGTGTTTTTAGATATCAGTGTTTGGTTGAGTTCAACCTGGAGGTCCAGCTGGGACCAAATAAAGACTACCTGCTGTCACTGATGGTTGAACTGCATCTGTTCATGTTAAAATGTCTCGATTGAATAAAATAAACTGACACTGAGTCTGTGTTTGATTTTCCTTTATACTCACACACGCACGTTTGAAGGTCCCCTTCCAGGTCTTTGAAACGATGCAAGTACTGTAGAAGATGAAAGACATCCATGTTCCTCTGATCACAGCTGATAATATTGTAGTATGAACAGATGCTGAGATATATTCATACATTAAACGGGTTCTTCATTTTTCTGAACTGTGTAACATGCGTGCATTGAATTTAACAGAAATGTAACGAGAGACGTTATTTATCTTTGACCCATCAAAATGAATGCGGTCATTTATTTACTGAATCAAAGTTTAACATCAAACATTTACATTAATTTGGCAAAATATGAAAATAACAACAGCATAATTAATCAATCAGGAAAACCATACGGCCATGGTTTTCTGTTGCTTCACCACAGACATTAATGAAAACATCTGGATTAATTTTCTAGCAGAAAGGAGAGTTTGAAGATGGAAAATTGAGATTTATCTTACAGAGAGATGTGTGAGGGAATTTATCTGTTTTAACCAGAACAGCACGCTCTTGGGAAATCAGCTTGTCCCAAACAGTACACTTTTGGGTGAAGGTCGACTTTACCTTTCTGAAGATAGATCAGGTCGGCGTGAAGTCCTACTTCCAGCCACTTTCAGCGTCTCCGTTGAGAACAGCTAAAATACCTAGAGAGTCGTGCGAGGTTATCCAAACAGAAGTTATAATTCCCAAAATCGTCTCTGCATTCTGGATTCCAAGAACTCTGAACTCCTTCAGAACTCTGAACTTTTCTGGAACTCTCAAAACTCTGGAAACTCTTCCATCCTCAACTCTACTGTTGAACTGGGAAGTTGCCACATTTAAACGGGGTATACTTCCGGTTCATTTGAGAGCTTTCTGATTCGTGGATGGACCAGAACAGAGGTGTGGTTTGTGATGTAAGGTGTTATGGAAAGTCAAGGATTGTTTAAGAACAGACAGAAAGATTGTTGGAGAAAACCAGTCTTAGTAGCGTCTCTCCTCCTAGTATCTGCTGTGAAAGTTAAACATGACATTTCTTTTCAGTAAACTTTTTAGTTGACCAAAGCTCGAACTTTAACACACTTACAAATTTGCTCATTGAAGACAGAAAAATCAAGAAATGCATATTACCCTGATTTCTTCTTTGAATGAGGAATAAAAATCATTACTACTGTTTAAGTAAATAAAAATGAGTAGTTCACTTCAACATGTAAACATTGTCTGAACTAACACAATTTGATTATCAAACATTTGTAAAATAGTAATGATCATAGAGAATTGTCTTTTCCACTTGATTAATTCAAGAAAGAAAGTCTCAGGATCGATCAACCTGTATTTCTAGATGCAGATCAATGAAATGACAGTTTCTGACCATATGATCCTAAGGTCATTGATTTGACATCAGGTCAAGTTCACTACAATATTATCAGTGGAGGCTCGTCAATAGAGGGAGCTCGGGCACCGCCCACCCACTGAAACCACTCACCATTTTACATTGAAGATTAAAAAATTAAATAATAAAAATTGAAATATATATTTTTTTATATTTTTATTTGGCAACTGGTAGAGCTGCTGCCTCTCAGCGAGCAGGTCCCTGGTTCAAAGCCCGGTCCAGGGGCCTTTCTGGGTGGAGTTTGCATGTTCTCTCCGTGCATGCGTGGGTTTTCTCCAGGTGCTCCGGTTTCCTCCCACAGACCAAAAACATGCATGTTAGGCTGATTGGTAACTCTAAATTGTCCCTAGGTGTGAGTGAGAGAGTGAATGTTTGTTTGTCTCGTTTGTCTCTATGTGTCCCTGTGATGGACTGGAGACCTGTCCAGGGTGTCCCCCGCCCCTCGCACAGTGATTGCTGGACATGGGCACCAGCGACCCCCGTGACCCAAAATGGAAGAAGCGGGTAAAGAAAATGGATGGATGGATGATTTTATTTGTGCAAGATAAAAATGTTATATTTAATGAGTTAAATTGTTTCTTTCAAAAACGTCTGATTGCTTCTGTATTTCTGGCCTCTGGGGGTGCAATAATCTTAGCCTTGGACTCCCATTAACATTTGTACATGCACAGTAGCTCCCCTTCCAATGTAAGAGATAGGAAAATTCTGGGCGCAGGTGCACGGTCGAATGCGAGCAGTACCGATCGTGTGCTTCTGGTCCCGTAACAGATTTTTTTTTGGTCCAGGAACAGATCGTGCTGCAGTGACACAACCAGGCTGGCTGCAGGTAGGCTTTAAACCAGAGGTCGCTCGGTCCGTATCGGTTCTGTCCGGACCTGACAGAACACCGGACCGGGCCACCCCTTGCTTGCTGCGTCAAGCTGCTGCTCACTGTGGTTGTGTGCAACTCTGCTGTTGTTGCTACAACTTCATTATAAAAATTTAAGCAGGTCTTAATTTGAGCCGGATCCTGATGGAACAGACCTGCGAACTCTTATTTTGACAGGGTGCATTCCAGTAATCGTTTACTTGGATCCGGTAACTTTCAGGCCTGCTAATGATAAAGTTATGTAAGGAAGCTTAGCTCTCAAACCTTAGATTCACCAAAATAGTGAATACATTTGGAATAAATATGGAATAAATGACACAAACGGTCCAGTAAAATCTATGATTTTATTTTTATCTTTGAACTCTGGGTGCTTCGTAATCAGATGTCGCTAAAGTTTAGCTTGGCTGGCTTCATTGAAGACACGGAATACATAGTCTTCCTTCGCTGCTCTCGATGAAACCAAACTCAATATAACTTTCATCATATTTTGGTATTTTAGCTGGTTTGGAATTTTCTGCACTTGATGAGGTTGATGGTTTTAAAACCGTTCCAGCTCCACTAAGTGCTAAGCAGCAGAAAGAGCTGTGCACCAAATGTGTCCAGACTTTGTTTACACATTTACAACGCATGTCGTCATCACATCACAGTTTTGACTGGCTCAAATCTGAGGTAGGCGGAAGTTATTAGTTCACTAGGTTCATCTGATTGGTGCCCATATCAGTGTTTCCCCATCAATTTACTGGAACTCCTCAGACTGGTGAAGCCCTCCGGATAGAGGGTGAAACGTCTCTATAAAAAAGAAACTGTCCAGATGACCTGACTGAGAATTATTGGATTTGATACCTGGATGATAGAGCATGAACTTTGTTGGTCCAAAGTTATGTTCTCTGATGAGAGTAAATTTTGCATTTCCTTTGGAAATCAAGGTCCCAAAGTCTGGAGGAAGAGAGGAGACACAGAGAATCCACATTTTTCAACCTTTATTTCTACAGGTAGATCCCATTGAGCCTCGAGGACTCATTTACAAGAGAGACCTGATTTAACAAAGAAAGATGACAACAATGGACAACAATAAACAGTTATAAAAAAATCATACAATTTTTTATATTTTTTTTTTACAAATAGGATGACTAAAAAAGAAAAGTAACAAAAAACATCTAGATTCTAAGACGAATGTAGAAAACTAAAAACAGGAACATGTCTGCACTGGTCCCTGCCAGGAGTCCAACAGATTCTTAAAGCCACTTAGAGAGGTCAAAGGTCGAGAGCTTCAGATCTTTTTGTAAGATATTCCAGGAAACAGGAGCGGAGTAGGAGAAGGCCCTTTTGTCTAGTTCAGTCCTCACTGAGGGAACACTGCAGGTAATGATGTCCTGAGAGCGCACGCTGTAGCTGCACTCACACAGAGACATGTAGGAGGAGATGTATGAAGGCAACAGAATCAAAGACATTGCATCCAATCAATGCATCTTAGCAACAGTGGGTGTAAACCATCCATCCATCATCTTTACCCGTGTAGGGGAACACCACCTCCACTTCAACAAACATCATTCATGTGTTGTGTTTTAAACTGTTAAAATAAGATGCATTTATTCCCTTGGGAACGAACAGACTTTATTTTACAGGTGTTAAACTCAGCTTACAAACTCCTTAGTGGCCACTAATCTAATGTAATGAAAAACTGCCATTGTGTTAACTTCACTTTCAATGTGAACTCCTTTCCCACGAAACGGACGGATCGTCTTAATGGGAGCTTGTGGTTCATTTTTGACCTCGAAGTGAAACACCTGCCGAGGAGTTTACTCCCAGGATTTTCCCATGGAGATAACAGTTTTAAAAGAATCCTTTGTTTCAGAATAACATTCTCTTTCAGGAGATGAACAGCGACACCTGTTGGGTGAACATTACATGTTTTTTTACAGTGTCAGAACTGAATGTGTCATAGAAGATGTCTGTGTTAAAGTAACCTCTCTAAGATAATCATGTTTATTTTTCTCCTTTTAAAACCAGTGCAGCTTTTTAAAAGGCAGACGACTAAAATGGACTTGTTTTATATTAAAACATGACAGAGTTTATGAACCATATCTCGTCCGGTGGGAGGTCCTAAGTCAATCTGTAACACCCAGACAGACATTTCACTTCTCAGTTCTTCTCCACTACTTCTGACTACACACTTCACCGCTCCTTCTACATGAAGCCACTTCAAC